ATATTGACAAGCGGCACATTTAGGATGCTCCCCGACCTTGCTTCTAAGCAAACCGAGACCCTTCTTGTCTAAGAAACCACCCAACCCAAGAGATTGAACATGGGAGAAGGACAGATGTCCCAACTTGTAATGCATTGAGCCAGATTTTGTAAAAATAGAAAGTTTCGTTGTTGGTATGAAAACTGAAGTCATTGCTTGATAGGAAGAGAGTGCCTTCCTTGGAACAGAGTAAGTCGTGGTAAAAAACTGGAGTCAAACTTCATTTGTAGCATTTCTTTCCTCCCGTATGCCATTCAGCATGGTCGTGGTAGACTCTGAAGTGATCGTTGAGTTTGCATGTTTTTGGTCAAGTCCTTGATGGACAAGAAAGCTTGAGGGCTTAGGAGTCGTTTGGAAGATCAGGATGAATAAGAACCTGCTCCCGAAATGACACAACATTGCTTGCTCATCCAAAGTCTCCCAATCAGTAGTGCCATGTACTCAATGCTCAGACTCCAGCGATACCTCCTAGGAAATTGTTCGAAAGCTTTCTGATGAATTGGAGTCCACACACTGAAAGGATTGTGCAAGAATAGGAACATCACTATCACATAGCATGAAGACATATGGGGCAATAAGAAGTGACTTGGCAAAGGATCATTAGAAGATTGGATCGTTGTTGGAGAGCCAGCATGTGTGGTGCCGTGAGACTGTGTCTTCAGTTCTCCTGATTGATCGATATTCGAAGCTGTTTTCTAAAGCAAGATCACTGGAGAGCTGAAGATTGTGCCCACTGACTGAGTTCCCAATGACTCCAAGGAGGCCCATCAGCTTGTATCTCGACAGGGTTCTGTTGGCCCGACATTTGCGAGGAAGCCTGGTTGGATTGGGGGTTGAGAAGAGACGACATAGGTGTCTTTAAGAGTTATTTATGCTTGAGAAAGGTATTGTACACAGGTCCGAAGACATGTGGAATTGAAAGTATGGGTCTGGGTTGGATCGGGATCAAAATGTTTTGGCCGATTGAAGCGGAAGAACAAGTTTGTGATGCAAGAGAGCCACTGGAATGGAAAACCGAAACTTAGAAGAAGAAACCAAAGAAAGACAAACACACATCCGCACCCGGAGACATAGTCCAATGAGGATATGGTGGGGAAAGATATGGGAGCAGAGACAACATCAGCCATTTTAGCGGTGAGACTGAAGAAAGGTTGCTCCCTCCAAGAATCAGGGCTGAATTCGAAGTGTATTTTATAAATGTCTGCAGCAGACTCATCTGTCTCCACGCCAATACATGAGAAGGAATAGACCCGAGATAGAAAGGCAAAATTGGGACAAAAGAATAGGCACATGAGAAACACTGTTGCCAAGTGTGTTATTCTGCCGAAGAGTCCATGAAAGCCCCATTGAGGCTAGCTGAAGAGAGCGGGAGATCTCATCAGAACTGAGATCTACCTGCTGCCATGTTGACCTGCAAGAATCAAAATCATACCCAAACATTGGGACTGGCGTGATAAACTCATCAGTTGCTAGAACAGGGACATCAGCAGCGGACATAGGTAATCCCATGGTGGAAGAAGCAGGTTTCCACCAGCAGTGATTGGGCCGAAGCTGGAGCAGCTGTGGTGGAGTAGCATTGTCCACCAGAAGAGGGTGCCTTGTAAGGAAAATTGCGGAAACCACGATGTTCACTGGTGAAATGAGCACTGGGCCTTTGGAGAACTTCCCACAGTTGCGACAGTATTTAGCAACCACCTTCCCATCAACGAAATGGTTTGTTGGGCATCATCGGGAATGTTCTCCCTTGGAGCATGGAAGCAAGCTTGTCTTTGATAAGAGTTGTGAATTTGGAGTTGGTTTCAGCACTCAGGGCATTATCCTTTGGAGCACCTCGCTTGGGACATCTCTGGATCGTTTCTATGATGATAGTAGCTCCACAATAAAAGCAGGCGCCTCCACGAGGACGGTACCGCCACTGGTGACCCACTTTTCGATCCTGGCTGAGACTCCCCAACTTTTGCCTCAACAGCCTTGTCATTGCTGCCTGGAAGCCTTTGGCCTGGGATCCCTGGATCCAAGATGTGGGCAAGGGCTCATAAAGTTTTCTGGTTGATGAGGACCCGATAGAGGGCATCCAAGTCATTCAAAGTGTCGAGTCTTCCAATTGTTTGTTCCCATAGTTGCTATCAAATCCGTGATGTCACTCTTGACAACAAGCTCATGACTTTGGACGAAAGTAGGACAACCACACCAAGGAGACCCCCAGGATGTGCTGGTTAGTTCAGGCATGGATCACTGGACATAAGTTCAATCGAATCTCTTTGATGCAGCTTGCTTGCATGACAACATACATGGACACATTTTCCCCAGGAACTTGGTGAATGTCCAAGTGAAGAAGCTGTGCTTTGAGGGTCTCAATTTGCTGAGAGAAGGTCTGTATATCTTCTGACAGAAGAGCCAAGAGAAGCTGGGGCCCATTGTGCTTGCTCGAGGGACATATGATTTCAATTCTTCCTGGAGTGCATCAGTGCAAGAGTTCAAGACAGCCTTTCCCGGACCAGCAAGGTTGGTTAGATCATACTGGCAAACCGGATGTTTTGCAGATCCCATTGGCATCGATGAATCTGACCCCATTGATGTGAAGTCCTGATGCCATTTTTCCATCATAGACTTGAGACCTGTCCAGGAGCAGTGAACATGTTGAATTTATTATTATAGTGTTAGTATTAAGATCGCCAACAACAAGCTGAAGACCCCTTCCATCCATGCTCGTCATCATAATCTCAAAGGCGATAAGAGACGCAGAACATGAGACCAGAAGCATTGACTCAGTAAAGTGGAGAAAGGAGACTGGGGGAATCCTTCAGTCCTTTCTTGCATGCCAATTCGATAGGTGATTGGTGCTGGATGTGGTGTGATTTTTTAGATGGTCGTCTCCATGAAAACCTGAGGCATAGGGTGCTTGAGGTTCCTTTCCCAGTCATCTGAGCCAGATCCTGTCAGGCTCCAGTGTGGTTGATACCTCCAAGTCGACGGGCTTCTGTAAGCTTGGTCTTTTCTTTGTTTTCCCAATGTGCTGAGGAGCTCTGGAATGAACTGCGTCAATGGTGCTGCAGTCAATGGTGGAGGATCAGATGGTGGGATATTGGATCAGATTCAAAGAAGGCTTTTCTGAAGCCTTGTGTGACTGAACAAGGATGACTGATGCTTGCGCGCTGTTGAAGATGAGATGAAGATGCTGAGAGCAGAGGAAGCGTCGTCAAGTCCATCAAGTGAGAATCACAAAGAGGCAATGGCAACAATAGAGGAGCGGTAACAGGAGGAGCGGCAACAAGGAGGAGCTGGGTGGTATCCAGTCAAACGAGTCAATCGAGAGATGGATTTATGAGCTTTGTGAACAGTAGTTCGGCGAATTGGAGTTGTTTGGATCATTCAAACAACAAACTGCAAGCGAATCGGTCGTTGGTAGTTGAATGACCACGACGGTCGCGAGCGATCGATCGCTCATACGGATCTGTACATAGTTTAAAATTAAACACCGTTGCGCTTCAGCTGCAGTGTCTTTGAACTGGCTGCAGCTGATCTTTGAATGAGGATACTGACTCGCTTGCAGTCGATTGAACGACCAATGCCAGTCCTTGAGAACAACAACAACTCGCTCGTGTTGTCATCAGTGTGCGTCTCCCGTCAAGTTAATGAAAAAGTGAGCACTCGAAGCATGACTCAGGTTTGAACCCATAATAGAGGGTGAACTCGCTCCGGAAGCATGACTCAAGGCATGACACACAAGCCAGCCTTATATGCAGTAGGAGCTCATATTTTCGATGAATTCTGTTAACTTGGATCGATCGATCGCGATCGACTCGAAGATGAGGCAATAAGGTTTGCCGGTGATAGAGATACCAGAGTAGACAGTAGAAGCGATAGTAGTAGTAGCAGTAACAGAAGCAGTACCAGTAGTGGTACCTGCGTCGATCGAAAAAAAGGTGGACTCCCATAGGAGTCCATTGTTTAAAATAAGGTCCTCATCGCGATTTCGATCAACGACAGGATGAAAGGTGGACTCCTTAGGAGTCCATGTTGCGATTGCTACGAGCGAATTCAAAACAACAAAGGGACTTGGCGACGAATCACAGGGAATTAAGTTGCAATAAGGGAAGGATAACGATGAAGATAATGAGAGGAAACTCAGGACTCTGCATCAAGGGATAGCCATTCCATTGACAACCATAAGGGATAGACATATAAGAAAGAATGAGTAACATCTCATAACCTCGCATGCTACCATGCGACAATACCATTGTGGATTGATTAATCTAACGATCAGAGATGTAAAGTTTGTATTTCCAAATAAGTGAGCAGTTTATTGATTATTTTCTAGAATAAGCCTGCTAATTGTAAAGCTGTAAAGCTGAATTGTAAGCTGTATCCCGTCGCACCCCTGGTTTGGCTTTCTCGAAGCAGGGGAACCTATTTTGATGTGTCCACCTCCAATCAATGGCATTGGTCCACAATGAGTTGCCATTGATCTCATCCAGCTTGTAAGCCTCTGCCTTGGTCCTTGAAACCCTCACTCCAAACTCATCTGACAGCACCACCAGTCCTCTTCTTCATCAGCCTCCATTGCTTTCTGATCCTATGAACTTCTTCCTGTTCTTCAGTACTTGTGGGCCCATTTCACCTGGACTCATGGACAAGCCTTTGAGGGCTGCATACTTCTGCAAGGACTGTTGGGCTGTCCTTCCTGATCACTTCCATGGGTTCCAGGTAGCCTCATCCTAGGGAAACCACTCCACTTGACCTGACATCGATCTTTCCTTGTCTACAGGTTGTTTGGACCATTTGTGGTCTAGGATCTTATCAAAATCCCAGTACTCTGCATCAGCATCATCTGACCTGGTTAGCATCTTCACGATCTCTTCATACTCATAGATCTTCGCTTCCACCCTTGAATTCCACCTTGCTTGGGTGGTACCATCTCATCATTGTAGACTCTTTAATCTGACCTTTTACATCTCTTTCTACGCCTTTCTTATTGGGGATGCGGTCCCAGATGAACAGATCCTTGATGGTTTCCTTGGGTACCTCTGCTGGGGAGCCTTGAACTTGGGTTCCTCCCCGGGTTTGGTGCTGGGGTCCTTCTCCCCAGTCTGGGTGTACACAACAGGGCAGAAAGCTTCTTCGGTCCTGGCCCTATCTTCCTTGTGGAGAACTGAGACAGCATCCCTAGTGGTATCTGAGATGTTCTCCCCTTCAATCTTCCTCACCGCATATCTGACAATGAGTTGCTCAGTTTCAAGGGTTAGGATCCAAGAACACATCCCATCACCATGGTCCAGAGCCCTGCCCAACCATCTTCCAAGCCTCTCATTTCCACCAACTGCTTGTCCAGGGAACTTGTGGGTAGGCTCATGGTACAGTACTACATCCCAGAACTTGAATTTGATGAGATTGGAGATGTCTGGGGTCTGCCCAGTAAGTTTTTCAATGGGTGTCCTCCATCCCAAACATTCCTTTGCAGTGTTTCTGTCTAAATCTGCGGCGTGTTGGATGGCCTTTGCCCAGGCTTGGGGTGCGCAACCCGTTGTGATCATCATCTTGGTTACACTCCCCTTGCACACCCCAATTCCAAACTCAGCACGATTTTGGGATGGCTTGAAAGGCTGGGTGAACTTGTCCTTGGACCAATACCTGCGCATGTAGTCTGTCCACACCTTGCCCATTTGCATCTTGGAGTTGTCCCGAAGGATGGATGGAGGGACACCAACTTGTTTGAAGAAATCGAGGAGGGCATTCGGGCCATCCTTTTCACTCCCCAAGCCATAGACAAAAATAGAGTGGGAATCGAGGCCATAGAAAATCTGACAGGCGTTGTATCCTTCATAGGAGGTGACTGTGGAGAAGAAGGTGTCGGTTGCAAAACCTTCTGGGAGGCGCCGGCGTTGGAGAACTGGGTTCATGGACTGGACTTGGTTTCTCATTGGAAAATGGGAGTTTATGCCTCCATAGGCAGTGGTAGCCTCAATAGTGTGCTGCAAAGTCCTCAGTGAGAATCTTGTACGTCATACCATGACCAACATACTCTGAGACGCCAACAAACCTCCCCACACACTCGGTTGAGTCCTGTGGGAATTTCGCGTCATACTTCTGATAGTAGACTGGTTCATAAAACTCAAATTGAAGAAGTGCAGATATGTCAGGCGTGTACCCATGCAACCACTCAAAGGGAGTTCTCCATCCAAGGCTCTCATATGCCATATGATTCTGCAGGGTGGTCACGTACTGTCCAGCAGTCAGCCAACACTTAGATGGTGCATTCTTGGTGTCCAGCACCAGCTGTGTCTTGGTCTTGGTATCCTTCCATCCGTGTTCTGCATAGTTCTGATTCCCTCTGTATGGCTCAGAGGTTCGGTCGTTGATGCAAAAGGTCCGTAGGATGTCCTTGACCCGTTTGCTTGCCTGGGCCTGGGCATTGTCGCTCCTGATGCAGTTCATTGCTCCAAACCTTCGGATGTTGTCCATCAGTGTCTTGACATAGCTTGCGTCACTGGTACCAACGGGGTGTAATGACCTGTAGTGGGATGTGCGTCCAATGAAGAATTGGGCTGCCACAGATCTGTCGTCAACCGCAGGGACACTGCCGTAGATAGTATCCGTAGCCACATCCTCTTGCCTTCTCGGAATGTTGAGGATCGGGTTGGGCGACAGTATCTGGCTTCGGAGAGTACGACCTTGGACAGCTCCCTTGGTACCATACTGGGTAGTGGCATCCATTGTTCGCTTGAGTGTATCGACACTAGTTCCCGGGAAGAACCGCCGCATCATTGGAATCTGCTCAGGGGGCCGCTTGCGGGATATGGGGGGCAGCTCAACACCGGTGTGGTGCTTGGCCCTGTTGTTCGACTTGAGAATGTCTCCGTCTTCATCTTCAACGTCGCTGGAACTGTCATCATCATCGTTTGAATGTACTGTCTCAACTTGTGGTCGTCTGTCAACAGAGGACTGCTTCTTGGAACGAGGTCGACTGACTTCAGGCATCTTCCAAGTCCTTTTCTCCCCATCCTTCGTTGGGTCAGAGGGGCGGGTGGGACGGGAACGGGAGCGAGTACTTGGAGGCTCCCCACGAAGCTGGCCACGGGTTTGGACGCCAAAACAATGTTGTAAGTCCTCAGTGTCGGAGTCAGAATCAGTACCAGAGGAGTCGGAGTCTTCAGGACCAGAGGAGTCGTCATAGGGGGACATAAGGTCGGGGACGCGAGCAAAGCACTGTCAGAGGGCTGCAACGTCAGCGTCATCCTCAAGGTCAGAATCATCGTCGGAGCTGGAGTCATAATGATGGCACTGACGGGATAAGAGGGCGGGGACATCATCAGCACAGGCAGGGACCAGATCGTCTTTGACAAGGTCAGCCATGGCAGCGATAATACTGCGGCGATCAATGGACTGCTTGGGGGTGGGACGAGAGGGGGTCAGGGCATCGTCATCCAAAGTCTTGAGTCTGCCCAAGCTGTCTAAAGGGGAATCTGCATCGTCAAGGACGGTAGTACTTTGGGTGTCATACCAATCATCGGACGGGACCGAATCAAGGCACGAGGGGTCCCACGGGTGTGGGCTAGTCAAATCTATCAAAGGGATGGAGTCGTCTTGCAGTCTTCCATCTCAGCATCAGTGGGTGGCCTACATTCTACATACGGAAGTCCATTGTGCATGGCCATGGGGACTCTGAAACCATTTGGTGTGACAAAGTATGGGTCCACGCCAGTCACGGTCTTGGCTTTCTCGTGAACACAACAACCAAAGTGCTCCATCTGACCGGGACAAGCAATGGTACAGCCGTCATACATGACTGCACCCTGGTGGATGCGACCAAGGATGGGACCATGATCACTTCGCATGAACAAAACCACAGTAGCCAACTGGAGGTTTCGAACTGTGTGATTGTCAATACCATTCAAATCAATGAATGTACCAGATAAATTCACAACACGTACATCATTGCCAAGGATAAATCCATTGGCGCCTCGATCCATCAATGCGCACCAAAGTCGTTTGCGGTGATGGATGAAGGCTGAGTAGTACGATACACAAGGGTGGTTGGGAACACCAGGACCTAAGGGGGTTCCAACCCAGTCATCATTGGCGGAAGGTATTGCCGATGTGGGCTGACTGTGTGCTACCCCGCTGTCATTTGTCTCTGAAGAGGTTCCTCGGCTAGACCAGCTTGAGACAAAAGCTAGTTGCCGAGCCGAAAATCCGCTCTATCAGGGCCAGGCTTGGAGGAATGGACAGCACCGGAGGCAATGTCATCGACGTGGTCCAGCATGGGGTGGAATGCATGGTGGGCGGATCAATTGCTGGGGTGGCTAGCAGCAAGGTTACCTTCGCATGGCTTGGGTTTGGTGCCCATCATGCGAGCTGGGTGTGCCGGGTGCAGGTCATTGGACTTGGACTAGGGTGCCAAGTGGGATGGGCCAGCTCCAGGCTTGGCTTGTGCTTGGTTGGCTTCCATGGTGGGTGGCAGTGTGTCATCCACGCGTTCAGGGCGATCCTTCTCCTCATCCTGCTCTACCATTTCAGAAAGGTGAGCCTGTCGTGCAGGTGGACCAGGTGCACTACGCTAAAAGCTAGTGTAAAGATCTTTCGAGTGTTTTGAGTTTGAGAGAATGAAAGTTATGAGAGGATTAGAAAGTTATGAAAACTAATCAACGAGAGAGATCCACAATCAAAGGATCGTAGATCTGAACTCCCGCAGGAGACTGTAGAGTGTGATAAAGTAGGTTGTGGTAGCAATCCCACTCACTCCACGATCCAAAAACGGAACGCGTGGAAGATTCGTCTAGCATTTATCTAGTAGCGTGGAATCTCTCCACGCCAGCTAAATATCTAGCGCGATGTTTCACCATTGACCTAGTATGACTAGCGGTCATGAGAACCCTGTCTCAATGACTATTCACGAAAGACTCAGTCATGAGTCGAACTCAAACCCTATCTAGGATCGAGTCGCGAATAAGGCTAAGAGCCGTGTATTGCATTCGCCCCCTGACAAGGGTCACAGAAGGCACGACATCAGTCTGACAAGGAGAACATATGAATTAAAGTGCGGGGCACTCTCCGGAGATTGGATGTAGACATGTGCGTCGCACGATGGCAATCCTACAAGGGGATCAGGCCTTGTATGGGTGTAAATACCTTATGTTCCAAGTCTGGTAGACTGTGCCGCTACCAGTACTGGCGGTAGCATGTCGGAGCCGTACAGTGCCATTGTTATTGACTCGGTCTGTGTGGTAAGGACCTTTGTGCTTTGGCTGACCGAACTAGCGGTTCTGATACTGATGAATCATCATAGTATCGTTGACATTGTGTTGATGAGGGACACGTGTCGCGTTCTCCCTATCGTTGTTTTTCTGGATAAGTCGTTGGCGACGTTCCTTGATGTATTTCCAGTTTGCTTCGAAACGGATGTTGTGAATCTTATCACGATTGACGCACGTGAACTTGCGACGAAGTCCAAGTTCATCCCGGAGAGTCTTCTCGACCTCTGCGCGGGACTCACGTTCTCTGTCCATGACAACCTCGGCCGGTCATGGATACTGGGTAACCCATGTCTGTTTTAGAACGATGGTTACTTCGTCTGCTGTCTTGGAGCAGACCTTGGTAGTTCATTGGTCCAATGAATCCACGAAGTTCCTTCCTGTTGGTAGGAGGAGCGATAGCTGGATCGCATCTATTGTCCTTTAGTTAAAGGTTGGATTCCTTCTCGAGTAGTCCAATGGTCTAGATACTCAAGTTCTTCCTTTCGAGGAAGGCCTTGGTAGTGTTGATTTTAAATCCGACTTCTTGAAGTCTTTGGAAAAATTCATCTAACTATTCAACGTGATCCACCAGATCGTCGTCAGTTAGGATGAGTTGATCATCAATGTATGCACGGACATTTCCTAAGTCATGCATGCGTGTTTTCATCTTCCTTTGGAAGATGTCGGGACTATTACATAGGCCCATTGGCAACCTCTGGTACTCGTGCTTTCCCCTCGGGAGTACGATGGTACAGTGTTGCTTCGAGTGAGGTGACAGCTCGATGTGATAGTGTCCCATGTTCAGGTCTAGACTAGTAGCGTACTTGAATCCATCTAGATTCAAGAGCATGTCCTGTATTTTTGGGATAGAATAAGGCTTCCGCTTAATCCTTTTGTTCAGTTCCCGGAATTCAGAGATGAATCGTACAGATCCGTCTTTCTTGGGAATGATAAAAGTTGGTGCCGTCCACTCGGAACAGTTTATCTCTTTGAGTACTCCTGCCTTGCAGAGACGTTCAACCTCTGTCTTGAGAGTGTTGGTATGGACACGTGGAGTAGGGTGAGCCCTAGTATAATAGGATTTAGCGTCGGGACGAAGTTCTACTTCGTAGTCGTCCATTTGCAACTCTCCCACAGTACCCGTACTCCTGCCTTGCAGAGACGTTCAACCTCCATCTTAAGAGTGTTGGTATTGACATGTGGAGTAGGGTGAGCCCTAGTATAATAGGATTTAGTGTCGGGACGAAGTTCTACTTTGTAGTCGTCCATTTGTAACTCTCCCAAAGTACCTTCGACTGGGTAGGAGCACTTGGTTGAGAAGGCATGAGGCAGTTCTTGCTCTCCCTTATTTAACTGATTTCGACTCTGGCACATCTGCCTTAAGTCAGTTTGTTCGTATGTCGCATCAAGAGTCTTCTTGAGACTATCTGCACTGTCGTTGACAGCTGCAGGATCAGGAATGGAGAAGTTCTCTTCTCCATCGGTATTGCCATCTTTCGCAGGGAAAAATATGCTGTTCCACTCCATTGACATGGTAGTGAAATCAAACTTGATTCTTAGGTCGGAGAGAGTGTCTTGACCTATGATCATGTCATGCGCCCCCAAGTTCTTGGTGACGTGTAAATTCCATTCGATAATTCTACTATCGCGGAACTCGGGAATCATGAGTGTGCCCTTACACTTCGTGCGGGGTTTCAATTCTTTTACAGAAGCAATCCGTAATGTTTGGACGCCCCCATGATTCTTCATGAGTAAACTCTTAGCATGAGTTTGAGTAATTAAAGTTCCGGATTGCTCCTGTATCCAGTAAGCAACAGAGTGTAACGGGTTTTGTTTCCCTTTCTCTCGTCTGTTTTAAATCTAACATAGACGATAGTTTCGAGGTCTCTTGTTTGCGACGTTGATGAGTTGATTGGCCATGGACGAAGTTAAAGATGCTGAACAGATCGTCGGAGTCTAGTTGAGTAGTTGCTAGGCAATTATCTAATTTGCCGTAGACTTCATTAGTTGCAAACAAATCTTGTTTACTATTTAGTGAGATAACTTCATCACTTAGGTAGTAGAAATCGGAACATGGTTGTTGAATCATCATCCTGGCCTAATCCTCAGACGGAGATCTCTCCCATCCGAATGATTGAAGTCGAATTCGGCAAGACGCCTTGTCAACGGCAGCCATTTTCTTTTCCATCATGTTGATGGATCCACAGAGGAGTTCCTCGTTGTCGAGTCGTCTGACTTGCGCTGGCAACATGTTGCATTCGCTTTTCTTCTTGCGATCAGCTTGACCGCAGCGTTGGAGACTTTCTTCATAAGGACAGAGAGTTCCTTCTTGGTGTAGGACTTGGCGTCGTCGGACTTGCGTTTCCAAGTTTGTTCTTGTTGTACGCTGGCTTGTTATCTTGTCAGACGAGGATGAACTTGGCCTTGAGCTTCTTCAGAGTCATGCAGTCAGCAGTGTTGTGAGTGCTGGACTCGTGGTAGTCGCACCATTTTTCTTCGTTCTTGGAAAAGTGGTCGTTGTTGCGAGTAGACTTGTACTTCTTGCTGTTGTTTCTTCTTCAAAGAGCTTGTTTGGCATCACCGCCCTTGTCAAAGTCTTCGGAGGATTCCATGCGTTCGCAGAATCCAATGGTTTCTCCATAGGAGCTGAGAAAGGATGAAGTGCGTGTTCGTCCATCTTCTTCATCCACGAGCGTGGAATTCCATGACAACAATGTCAATGACTTCGTCATGGTGGTAGACGAGGAAGTTCATCGGCGTTCATCCGACTGAGGTTGTTGACATAGCCCGAGTAGACATATCAGCAGGCTTACGCATCTTGCGGCGCATGAAGCGTTTCTGCTTTTCAAGAGCCTTGTAGGGACAGACCGATTCGATACAGGCATTTATGCCAAACTAATGTCAGTATCGCCAAAGCAGGCTGAGCTGCTCGTTCCAGCAGCCTGGAAACGCGCTTGGAAAGCGACTTCGTCTTCACCCGCGGACGTCGCGTGGAGCAATCGCGTTGACTGCAATCTGGCGCAAGGCATTCCAACGTATTTCACGATGGCTGCACAGCTAGATTCGTAACTGCTCTTGGCAGAGCTAGAAGTCATCTCCTTGAGGAGGTTATGTTTGTTGTCAGGCGTTGCAATGGCGAGCCCGACGAAGACCTTCTCCATACGTCCAGCCCACTTGATGGTCTGACGTGGAGTCTCCGATCCATTGATGATTTGGACCTTGAAGTGTACTTGGCGCTCAGCATCTGCTGGAACAGTGCGAAGTTTGTAGGTGGTGGAGCGAGAATTGTCGATTTCGCATTCATCGTCGAGGTCGATGAGAGGAAGGATTGGTTTGTCGCGCAGCTTAGACTCGAAGCTGGTGTACGTGTCTTTGGCAATCTTCATGGTGAGGAATAGGTTGAGGGTAGCTGAAAGCTATTGTGTTTGTTAACAAAATGCACTACGCTAAAAGCTAGTGTAAAGATCTTTCGAGTGTTTTGAGTTTGAGAGAATGAAAGTTATGAGAGGATTAGAAAGCTATGAAAACTAATCAACGAGAGAGATCCACAATCAAAGGATCGTAGATCTGAACTCCCGCGGGAGACTGTAGAGTGTGATAGA